TCTGAGTCTTGACAGCCTAGATTTCATACTCTAGGCCTCTGGGCCTCTCAGCCCCACCTCTCTTCAGGTCAGATCGGGGAGGCAGGTTGAGAAGTATCAACATACACCTCCTGCTGCCTCTGTGGGGGACGCTGGGGTGGAGGAGCCCAGAGCCCCGGCTGCAGTGCATGCTGTCCCCCTACCTGAGTGCATGGGCCAAGCCTAAGGCTAGAGCACTGGGTGAGCCTCGAGACAGCTGACATTTCTGCAGTGCCGCTGGCGGTGCACAGAACACATCCCACGCTTGCAATCTCGCTAATCCTCGCAAACACTCCCTGGGAGACTAGAAAGGACTGAAAAGCAGTCTCTCTGCTGACACTGAGCACCTCATGGGAAAGAGTGTTTCATGACTTTAGGCTTATTTGAGTCCAGGATAATAATAATTCTCACGGTGGCAGTACTAGTAATAATAATAATAGTAATCAGACATTTATTGCCTACATAATTATGCTCCCAGAATTGTGTTTATTTGGCCAACACAACCACTCTAAGAGGTAGGTACTGTTATTTTCTCCATTTTATGGATATGGAAATTGAGATTCAGAAAGGTTAAGTACTTGCCCAAGGTCCCACAGCTGAGTCACAGAGTCAGGATTCAAACACAGGTTAGTATTATTTCAAAGTTTGAGATTTCTTTTTCTTTTTTTTAACTGGAGGATAATTGTTTTACAGTACTGTGTTGGCCTCTTCCATACAGAGCTTGTGATTTTATCCATTATGCTGAACATCTGTTGGGAGAGTCTGGCTAGCAAAGTCAGACTCTAAAGGTGGGGTTGGGCATACTGAGGGGTCCCAGCAGCATCAGCCGATGCCCCCACACAGCCTCACAGCCGTACTTACCCTCCCAGGGATGTCCTGAAGCTGGGCTCGAGCAAGCCCTGGCCGGAGGTCCTGGAGAAGATGACCGGGGAGACCAAGGTGTCTACAAAGGCCCTCATGACCTACTTCAAGCCCCTGCTGAACTGGCTGGTCACTGAGAACGTGCGGCAGGGGGAGATACTGGGCTGGCCAGACTTCAGCTGTTCCTTTGAAGGTTTGATGATCTGACCCTCATCCCACCTCGTTCCAGCTCCAGGCCCAACCCTAGCCTGCCCTGGGCCAGCCCCTACCACAGCTCAGCCTTCACCCCTTGCCCATCAAGTACCTTGCAGTGTGACCTTGTCTGCAACTGATGCAGCCTCGGCCAAGACCACAGCCCATGCCCCAGCCACTGGCTCGGAGGCTTCCTTGCCCATGTCCGGCTAGACTGCAGGGTGGATCTGAGCACAGGGTGGCCACCTTACCCCTTGACCCTGCATGGAGCCACTGCTGGGCTCCACAGGGTACATGGCTGTACCTGTGCCATCTACTCCTCCTCCTGCTCCTGCTCCTCTTTCCTACCCTCCTTCCAGGGCAAGGCCCTCACCTTTGGAAGGCAGGTGCCAGAGGCTGGGGGAGAAGGCCTGTGCCCGTCAGATCCCCTCTGGTCACCACGAGACACCCTCCCCAGCTTCACCTGCTCTATTTGTTTCCTGTGTCTTCCACAGAAAGAGAAACAGGCAGGACAGCATTCCTGGGGATGGAGCTGAACCCTGACCAGGTCAGATCCGGGCAGTGGACGTTGCTGGTCCTGAGCTTTGTCATGTTACTGGCAGTCCTGCTGCTGGGCCGCAGGCTGTACACCCTGGAAAAAACCTCACTGACCCAAGACACCAGTACACAAGACACCCGGTCACAGGGCACCCAGTCACAGAGTCCCAGGTCACAGGACGCCAATGCCATCGAGCCAGCATCCAAAACCTACTTCCTGGGCATAGCCATGGAGCCCCACCAAGTTGTCAAGAGACAGTGGATGCTGCTGGGCCTCTGCCTCTTCCTGATGTTGTGCTCCATTGGCCTCATCATTCGGATTTTCACACAGCACAACAGGAAGCCTCTGTGGATGAGAGATGAATGGGGGAGCTGGGACTAGACACCAGTGCAACTGGTGAGGTTTGGGGGCAGGAAGAGGGTGGCCAAGTGGAGAGGGGTTGGGGGGGAATGCTTGCATGCATAGCACCCAACTACTATTGGGTGCAACTGTGGCAGACCCGGGTACACGGGCAGTTGTGCGTTTGTGAACTCATGTATGTGAGGCCACATGCACAGGCGACTGATTCCATGTCTGCCCTGGGTTCCAGACCAGCTTCCTTCTCCTAGGGTTCAGGATCTGTAGATTTAGTTACCCAAGGGCTGTGTCCCTCCAAACTAGCCCCTCACCCCAAAACTGGTTTTTCACATAATATTTTCTTCAGACTCTACTGTGGGGCTGGACAGAGGCTGCAATACCCAAGGAGTATCTGCCATAGTTAGAAACAGGACACTGCTTCGGTGCCTTTATAAGATGCATGCAAGTAAAACCAGACACTCCTGTACATCAGTGCTCAGTTCATGAGCGCTGAACTCTGTATACTGGCTGGCACTGTGTTGAGCTGCATAATCCAGCCCCCAGAAGCTGCCTGTCAGCTGTCTGAGATGCAAGTAGCCTTACAAACTGCCCCGTGGCCCATCCCTGCCCTAGGCCAGGTCCTCCCAAATGCAGACAGTGGGTAGCTGGGCACCCAGCCAGGCTTGATTAATGATTGACTTCTTTAATATTTAAACAAAGCTCATCTCCAGCCACTCCACTCCAGAGATGGCCTTGTTCAACACACACACACCTGCTGCCTGGCCTGTTGCCCTGGGGATTGAGCACAGGGCAAACAACACCTTTCCAGGCTCAGTGGAGGAGGGGAGGATGGGGAGGGAGAGCTTTAAGAAGGACATTGGGGAATGAGTGCTCTAGGGACAAGCCTAGGAAGAGAAAGGGAAGGCCTCTGCTCCTGCCCCTCTTTGCCCTTTCTTTCCAGCCTGGGTCTAACACAAGAGTGCCACACCCGGTGTATGGGAACTTACTGAGTTTGGACTGAGGCCCCAGGGGCCCCCAGGGAGACTGAAAATCAATGTCTGTCGGAAATTAGGGGAACCTTGAGAGGAAGTAACATCACAGCCAGAAACCACAGAGGAGGCATCAGGGCTGCAGTTGAGCAAGCGGGAAGGTGGCCAAGAGATGGGACTGGCTCTCTCTCGATTAAGGATCTGAGCCCAGAAGTCAGGGATCAGGGTACGGAAGGACTGGGCCGAGATCTCCATGGAGCCTACCTCTGTCCAGGATTCAAGAGTTCTTCTTGAGTTCTGGCAGAGTCTGAGCACTTTCTGTTCTGACCACAGGCTCCAGAGCACCCTCATTTGATGTCTCCGTCACTGCTGTTACTTTGCCTTGCTGTAATGTCCTTATTTGTCCCCATTACTAGCTGTCAGCTCTGTAAGGTCAGCACACAGTGAAACATCTGTAGACAGCATAGGCCATGGCACACAGTGGGGATTTGGAAAATGTTTGAGTGAGTGAGTGAGTGAATGAGTGTCCCACTGCCCAAATCCCTCCTCAGAGCTCAGCACCCCATGCCCTGAGCCCATGAGAAACAGGCCCACCTTTCCTCCACAGCCAGCCTATCACCCCCAACACGGGGCCAGCCAGGACAACTCTGCCCCCCCAAGGAGGCCACACTTGCAGCCCTCCCATCCCCCAGCCACAGTGGCCAACGAGATCCCCGTCAGGCATTGTGGCTCTGCATGGCAAAGGCACACCCAGCCCAGGACTCCAAGCCTCTCACCTGGACTCCAGCAAAACTCTCACTGAACCTCCATGTCCGTCCTCCCTCCCCCACCTGCCATTGTAAAGTTTCTTTCTTTGGACCTCCATTGTAAAGTTTCTTTCACTGGAATATTTCCTTCCTGTCTAACTGCTTAACAACTTGGTTGTCCATCAGTTAAATCTAGATGTTCAAAATGGCATCTGAGGGTCTTTGTCATTCCCTTTTTCTCCCACCTCCCAGCTCAGCCCCTTGCACTGATTCCATTGTCAGCCTTTGCCTAAAGTGCATGCCCTATTGAATGCTTGCCCTCCAAGGCTGGCTCCAAACTGGCTGTTGGACCCTCTGCAAAGCTTCAAGCTCACCAAGATGCTCAGTGAACAGTGGTCTCCTTCTCCCACTCCTCTCCAAGAAGGCTCTTTCAGTAAATCTCACCCCATCCCCATCTGCTTATTCTATTGTATTCATTTTCAACCAGTACTCAGACACTTATCAGTGGTCACTTGCTAATATGTGGTTTTAAATCTGTTCTTCTCCCAAGCAGTATCTGTATGCTAAGAGCTCTCAGGCCTCTAAAGAAAACACCTCATTGCATATTCCTTGTGCATTACAATGCCAGTACCCGGTCTTGGATGGGCTTGCCACTAGGAGTTCTTCATGGGCACTGGGATTCAGTTCGAGGGCACTTGGTAAGGATGGGCAAAAGGTCTACCCATACCATTGCCCGAGTCCAGTCCAGTGGTCAGATCGGGAAAGAAACCTTCAGCAGAAGACCATTTGAGGCCTCTAAAACCCCGTCGGCTCCTCCTCTCCTCCCCTGCTTGAGAGAGACGGCCTGGCAATGTCCAGACTGGCCACCTGGTACCTGAAGCGGGTCTGAGAGGGCCGAGGGCAGAGTCCATTGGGACAGAGCAGAAGCTCCTCAAAGAGGCCCTACCGGATTGATTCCTGGCGCCGGACTCCCGCCCAGCTCCGCCCCCGAAGAGTCAGGGCCCCGCCCCTGCCCCGTTGAGTCCCGGAAAAGTTGCCCCCGCCCCGCGGACCCCGCCCCGCCGCCGCTGCCGCGCGGCTCCTTTCAGCACCGCGGCGCGGACAGCTCCCGGGCGGCCGCGGAGGGAAGGACGCGCGGCGAGCGGCGGGCCGGGGAGCGCAGCAGAGGGGTAGACGCAGGCGGGCGGGCGGGGCACGAAGCCCTGCGGCCCTCCCCGGGGGCGGCGCCCGCCGGAGCCGGACGCCGCTGAGCCAGAGGACAGGCGGAGAAGCAGGGAGCCGGGGCGCTGCTGGCTCCGGACAGAGGCCGCGGCCGAAAAGATGCCGGTCCGCAGGGGCCACGTCGCGCCCCAAAACACTTACCTGGACACCATCATCCGGAAGTTCGAGGGCCAGAGTGAGTGTGTGCGGTGGGTTGGGGCATGATCTGGAGCCCTGGTTCGGTGGCAGGAGTGGCCGGACCCTTTACTAACTTCGAATGGAGCAGGGTGGGGGGTGTTTGATGCCGAACGCATATCCTTCCCTTCAATGTCCAGGAAACACTTTCTCCTCCAGCGAGCCCCTACTTTTAGCTCCAACGCTACCCTCCTTTCCGCTGCACGGTGGGCAAAGTGCAGCTCCCGGCTTCACCCCTGAGTTGTTTTCTTGCCCGTTCTAAGCCCGCTCCTCCCCTTGTATCCCTGCCATGCTTCCCTCCTGACTCCCCCACCCCGCCCCCAACTTCCTCCAGAGGTTTCCTTTTCGCCCTCCTTTTCACCTCCTGACCAAGCCACTCTGGTCTTTCTAGAAGCTCACCCAGGCCGGGCCGCATCTGGTCACACCCCTGCTCCCTCTTGCCCATCCCTTTCCCAGCTCCAGGAAGCCTTGGGTCTCCCTCCCACTTCACTGACCCCATTACTGCGCTGGTTTTCCCACAATTCCCAGGCCTGACTCCCCTTCCCCCACTTCTCTGGTCACCGTCCTGCTTCCCCCTCCTGACCATCCCCTCATTACTCCCAGGAGCCCCATGGCCTTCCCCCATGACTCTGGCCTTCTTGGTCTTCCCACCCTCCCCAGACCTGACCTCCCCCTTCCTTCATTTTGATCACGGCTCTGCCGTGCATCCAGATCCAATCCCCCCCACGCACGCACACACCAACCGCTCCCACAAGTCCCTATGATCTTTCCCTCCCTACTGCCTGGTCCTGGTTGCCATGGGCTCCCACCTCCCGCCCCAGGTCGTAAGTTCCTGATCGCCAACGCTCAGATGGAGAACTGTGCCATCATTTACTGCAACGACGGCTTCTGTGAACTCTTCGGCTACTCCCGAGTGGAAGTGATGCAGAGACCGTGCACCTGCGACTTCCTCACAGGCCCCAACACCCCGCGCAGTGCCATGTCCCGCCTAGCACAGGCCCTGCTGGGGGCCGAGGAGTGCAAGGTGGACATCCTCTACTACCGCAAGGATGGTGAGGCCCCCTCAGGCCACAGATTCTGTGAGGCAGGCTTGGCGCCTCTCTTGTCCAGGCAGAGTGGTCATGGGAAGGGCACCGACCCCGGGGACCAAAGGGCCTGGATGAATCTTGTCTCCTCTCTGGGCCTCTGTTTCCTCAGCTGTATGGAGAAAGTGCTGGACCCTGGGTGCAATGCCTTCCGAGGTCCTTTTCAGGGGCCAGGGACGAGGCTGAGCCACCAACTGGTCCTGGCCCCATGCAGGGCCTCCCACACCATCGTCCCTCCCCCGTGTCCCCAGTCTCCTGGCTGTCCACTCTGTCACTGTCAGCCCCAGCTGTCAGGCAGCTGGGACGGAAATTAACCTTTCCTCATCTCCGTCTGCTCTGGGGATTAGGGGAGGAATCACCCCCTCAAGGCCTCTGGGGCCAGGCAAGGCATGGGGGTGGCTGGCTTGAAAAGAGGGCTGGGTCTGTCTCAGGGACCCCAGCTCCTTGGGGAGACAGGACCCGGAGTTTGTGCTGGCCCTGGAGACTTGTCCAGTTTGGGATATTACTGCCAGCCCAAGCTACTGCAGACAGAACAGAAGCATAGGGCAGGGGCCGAGGATAAGAAATTCTGGAGCCCTTCAAGCCCCTCCCCTCAGTACTTCAGTGTCTCCACTGGGTCTGTGGGGGGAGGAAAGAGATGGGTGGGAACTAGGGTCCCCAAAATCCCTTTGAAATCACCTGGATCAGTGGCCCCCTCAGCCTGCTTCTGCATCAGAATTACCTGGAACTTGTTTTCCAAAACACACCTTCCCTAGAGAGGGGCTGACTCAGAAATGTGTGTGAAGTGAGGCCCAAACAGGTGTATTTGGAAAAATCTCCCTAGCAGTTTAGTGTTCGGTCAGGTTTAGGAACCACTGGCTTAGATTAATCCCTCATTTCATGGATGAAGAAACTGAGCCCAAAGAAAAAGAAAGAACTTGGCCAGGATTCTACTGTGTGGGTCCTAGCTGGGACTGGACCCTGAGTCTCTGGGTTCTTCCCTCAGATATATCTGGTCTGAATAATCCCAAGAGGGGTGAAAGGAACCCAACAGCCTCTGTGTTCCGAGGCGGAACTTTTGGGGAAGGAAGCCCGAGAAGAGGGCCCTCCCTGGGGAAGAAAGCATGAGGGCCCCTGGAGTGCAAGTAAAGGGCAGGCACCTTTGGACTGGGGCTGAAAAGTGCTGACGGTCCTGGTTGCAGGGGCCTGGTGTGTGTGTGGGCAATGAATGTACGTGTAAACCTGAGCGTGTGTGTGTGTGTTTAAGGTGTTTAAAGTGCTTCTTGGGCAGGTCCTGGCTGTCCCTCTGGCTGTCCCCTGCTGCCTCCACCCACGTGAATGCAAGGGTAGTGATTAGGGGACTAGGAAGAACCTGGCTTAGTTTGGGAGCACTCACAGGGTTAACGAAGTCAGAATATTTTTAAAAGCTGTGATCTCACCTCCTCACATCATTGCAGAGAGGAGGTGACAGTCAAAGGAGTGAGAAGGGTCCCAGGGGAACAGGATGGGATGGGAGGAAATGACGGAGGACAACAGGTCCCTCTGTCCCTCTCCTTGACCTCAGAGCCCTACCTGGGCCTGAGAGGGGTAAGAACTGATCATAGACTCCTAGTGATGTCAGCTCAGGGCTCTTAGGGTCTCCTCAACACCCTAACTGTGTCTGGGCTGGGGGCCGAGGTCAAGGTCAAGCCTTGACCCTCTGAGATCATCAGATCTTCCGAACTCTGTTGACGTCTTCTAGCAGTCAGAGGGAGCCCTAGAGACCTAGTCTTAGAGGTTTTCTGTGGGTGAAAATGAAAAGCTAGCCACACACCTGTGCGTTGTGCTTAGTCACGCAGTCGTGTATGACTTTCTGCAACCCCATGGACTGTAGCCTGCCAGGCGCTTCTGTCTCCCACACTGCAGGCAGATTCTTTACCATCTGAGCCACCAGGGAAGCCCACCTTGACCTATTATAGTCCAAGACCTTGAGCACCTTGGACCTGCCTGAAATTGGTGTGAAACCCAGAAAGGGGAACCTTCTGGCCAGCATTCCCCTAAGAGAAGGATGCGATGCTCAGATAACTTATGTACACCTTCTGGTCCACTCTAACCACATGATTGGTATTTTGTTTTGTTTTTATCATATTCACACGGCTCTTATTGTCCTGCTGAAAGGCATCCTAATGGTGATTTTTTTCCTTCCTCAGGTCAATACCTCCTCTCCCCCATCTTCCATTGATTAGGAGTCACTCCCTCACCCCCTACAGAATTCTAGCTGATTTATAATCTCTTTTCCTCTAAAGGGGTAAACCACTGACAGTTCTCCAAGTTCAAGTAGAGAGTCTGTGGCCATACACCTCCACATTGTGCATCTGTGTAAAGCTGGGCTCAAAGAGGCCGGCATTTGACAAAAATTACCCCATGAGACAGGGCTCAGAGACCCCTGAGAAACTGGCTCTGCTGCCCTCTACCTTCACTAGGAAAAGTTAAGAACCTAACAGCTAGGAAGCCTGGGGATGGCCACAAGACTTGAGCTAATGAGAGTCTGGAGGGAGGCCTGGAGAACAGTCCTACCACTGCCCCCACTGGGGACCTGCCAGAGGGGCCCAGCCCCGCCTGCGTGCCTTGGCTGGATCGTCTTCTCTGATGACCCCAAACCAGAGAGTTCCTAAATCTCCAAGCCAGACTCGAGGGAGCCTGGGGCTCCTCCAGTCCTCAGCTCCAGTTCAGGAGGAAGGACATGGGCAGAGGTCTGAGGTCCCCGTGTCTTATGTACACTCAGCCATGAATGCCAGAGACACCCAGCGGGGAGGCAGGGTGGAGCAGCCGCGCTCCTAGTGGCGGCCTTTGTGGCACCAGCTCTTTCCTGAGGGCTCACCAGAGGCCGGATGCGGGTGTAAAGAGATGGGGGCGATAGACAACAGGAGAGCCTCCAAGGGGAGGGGCGGGGACTATGAGGAACTGAAGGAAGGGGCGCATCTAAGAGGCAGAGGAGAGCCGAGGGCAGTGCGCTGTCCGAGGGGAGAGATGAGCCCACTGTCCAGGGTCAGAGAGGTGGCCCCGAGAGGAAGCCCTGCAAGAGAGGGCGAGCAGACCACCCTCCAGGATCAGGGGGAGGGCACCCCCTAGGGTGACACACTCACCCACTTCTGGTCACCCACACCCACTCACTCGTGAGCAAGGACATGAGTGCTGTGCTTAGTCACTCAGTCATGTCCGACTCTTTGCGACCCCGTGGACTGTAGCCCGCCAGGCTCCTCTGTCCATGGGGATTCTCCAGGCAAGAATACTGGCATAGGTTGCCATGCCCTCCTCCAGGGGATCTTCCCAGCCCAGGCATCCAACCTAGGTCTCCCTCATCGCAGGCAGATTCTTTACTGTCTGAGCCACCAGGAAAGCCCAAGACAGCTTAGGGATCAGGAAAAGAATGCTCTGATCTCATCCGAATCCTCCTGTCTCCGTCATCCCCAGGCGGCGAGTGTGAAGGTCAGGCAGGGGGTGTTACATGAAGCCGCCCTCCAGCCCTCACTGCTCTGATGGGCTAGTCTTTGGTTCACTCTCAGCCTCAGTTTTCCAAAGATAGCATCAGTAGGTACAGGCTGGGCCTTGGCAGCCCCCAGAAGCATAGAGCCTGGAAGCCCTGCCCAGCTCTGCCAGCTCCCCACTAGGCCAGATTTCCGCAGTGCCAGAGAGAGTGAGAAGAGAGAATGGCCTTGCGGGTGGTGTTTCAGGCCACTGGCCAAGGAGGCTTCCTGGGTGGGTCCCAGCACCCAGGCCTTGCCATGCCTTGGGCTGATGAGAGTGCCAGGTTCTGGTCTGGGAAGCAGGCCTACAGCCCTGCGAGCCCAGGAGTGGGTCTCAGAGGCGAGCGGGCAGCCCCTCCTCGGTGTGGATGTCTCCCCTGGGGCCAGCACGGCAGCTGGCAGATGGCTGCCTGGTGCTTGGGAGTCCGGGAATCTGATCCGGGAGATTCTTGCTCCAGGGAGGAAGGTGGGAGGGAGGATGTGGACAGCTCGGCTGCACCCCAGCACTGAGGGGGTGAGAAGGCGCCCAGGGAAGGGAGCACCAGGGGGTGATCTGGGGGAAGAGGGATTCTAATGGACCCCAAAGTAGTAATAGCCTCCCACCCACTCACATTTACACTCATTCTTTCATTCACCCAGTAACAAACAATACCTCGGACAGGTCCTGGCCTCCAGCAAACAAGATAGACAAATCTGCCTTCTGCTAGTCATGTTTACCCAAGCCCTCTGCCCTTAGCATCCTTGGACCTGACACCCATCAACATTGAGCTGAGAGACATGGGATGTCCGGGTACAGTGGAGCGGGGCTCACAGGCATCTACCCAGCCTGCTGCCTGGGCTCTAGGGAACATGGCAGTTTCAGCTTGTTTTGTTCCACTCACCTATGGGAGAGGGAGCAAGACCCTGGAGCAGAGAAAGAGGAACAAAAGGGCCAATGGCTGGGTCTGGGCAGCCTGCGATGGCTGGGCGAGTGGCAGGAGAGCCTGTCCTGCCCCCACCCTGCCATCTATCTCCCTCTCCCTCTGCAGCCCCCAGGCCAGTGCCCCACCTGCCTCACCCCTAGTTCCAGCACGTCTGCCTTGAGACCACAGGCCCCTTCCTGGTCTGGAGCCGCAGCCTGGCCCTCACTCCAGTGTCCTTGGCCCAGACAAGTCCCCATCCCTCCGTTGTGTATGAGAGCGCAGGGCTCCCCGCTCCATGGCCCCAGCCCTCCCTGATGCATGGCCCAGCCAGCCGCGGCAGGTCAGTTTCTCAGGAGCCCAGGCTGCAGAACCCTCCAGGGCTCCGCCGTGCACCACCATGGAGCTTGAGGCCTCAAGTGCCAGCAGGCTCGGTGCCCAGCTCTGGGTGCGCTCTCAGTGAGTTCCCTCCAGCATCAGGGGAGCAGGACATCTTTGGGGAACAGGAGTACAGGAGCTGAACCCAGGGCCAGCCAGAGCTACATGGGGGTAGGAGACCCGACCTCCCCTCCCCACTTAATCCACCCCCATCTGCTCAGCTTTAATTACAGCAGAAGCAGACCTCAAGGTTAAGCCCCGAGCTGAGGGCCGAGTGTGGACTTGGGCCCGAGGCTGCATTATCTCCTAATGAGGAGCTTAGCGGCTTTCTCCACCTCGGCTCTGTGGGTGGGGCGCTGCTGGGCAGTGTCACCAACAGCTCTGGTCACTCTGTGGGCCTCCTCCCCCACCCACGGCTGCTCTCAACTTGACCTTAACGCAACCCCCTGCCTAGCTTCCCCAGGCCAGGTTCCTGCAGGAGAGGACCCCTCCGGTGACATCCCACCCTCCCTTCCCACGGTGTTTGCAGCCTCCTGCTTCCGCTGCCTGGTGGATGTGGTGCCCGTGAAGAACGAGGACGGGGCGGTCATCATGTTCATCCTCAACTTCGAGGACCTGGCGCAGCTCCTGGCCAAGCGGGGGAGCCGCAGCCTGTCCCAGCGCCTGCTGCGACAGAGCTTTCTGGGCTCGGGTGAGGAGGGGAGCAGGTTGGGCGGGGAGGGGAGCAGGCGGGGGGAGGGGCGGGAGCAGGGGGCGGGGCGTGGGAGGGGAGGGGCAGGTGGAGGGGGCGGGGCAAGGGGAGGGGTGGTGAGGGGGAGCGGGGAGGGGGGCAGGTGGCGTTTGTGGGCGGCAGCATCAGGTGTCGCATCGGGTCCCCAGCCCTGAGTGCTCTGACCCCGGCCTTGGTTTCAGACGGCTCTCATGGCAGGTCGGGGGCGCAGGGACCTGGGGCGGGCAGGGTCAAGTACAGGACCATCAGCCAGATCCCGCAGTTCACACTCAACTTTGTGGAGTTCAACCTGGAGAAGCACCGCTCCGGCTCCACTACGGAGATTGAGATCATCGCGCCCCACAAGGTGGTGGAGCGGACCCAGAACGTCACCGAGAAGGTCACCCAGGTGCGGCCTGCAGGCCAGGGTGGGCGGGGCCGTGCTGGGCCCCACAGTCCCTTCTTAGGCCAGGGCTCTGGACTCCTCCAGGGCTGGGGGAGCAGAGGGAGCTGCCCTGCCCAGCCCTGGTGTCCCATCTGAGCTCCAGGCCTCTTGTCCTGCTAGAGTCTGATTCTTTAGACCTAAAGGCCCACCCTGAGACTCCCACCCTGACTCCCAGCTCCTGGAGCCAGGGGAGGGTGGGTCAGCAATGCCATGTCCTAGGCCTGGAGGAGCCAGGAGGGGGAACCCGCAGGACACCTTGGGGCCTGCCCAAGGCTCTGCCAGTCCCAGAGAAGGAGAAGCAGAGAGAGGAGGTGTCAGGGCCATCCTGGGAAGAGGGTGGGGAGCCCAGCCCTGCTCCCGCCCCTGGCTTTTGAGGTGGCAGCCAGCCCCTAGGATGGGATGCTTCCGCAGTCCAGGCAGCAGGGTGGGGGTGGGCAGCCTGGCATCTTCAGCTCCCTTGGCGTGGGTCCCTGGGGAACAGCCAGGAAGCCCTCAGCCCCTCCTTGGCCAGCCCAGGGCAAACTGCCCTGGGTCCTCTGTTCCAGCTGACCACACTGTCCCTCCTCCTGGGGCCTGATGCCCCAGTCCCCAGCTGACCTCTCCAGAGAACACTGCCCAAGGTTCACGGGCCCTGCCATTGCCTGCTATGTGACGTTGGGCAAGAGACCTGTGCCTTGTCTGGGCCCCAGGGTCGCATCTGGAGGAATGACTTGGACCACATGGTCTCTGAGGACTCAATTTGACATTGAGGGTGCTGGCCCTAGGAGATGATGAGAGGTGCCTAGGCCAGGGCTGAGCAAGGGGGTGCAGAGCAAGATCAGGGGCCTCCTCCAGCTCCCCTGGGACTTCGTTCCCTGAGGGGATGGAGCAGCTCTTTGCCTCCCGCCCCCTTTCACCTGAAGCACCCACCAAGTGCAAGCGCTCTGGGGCAGAGAAGACCCCAGGCTGTAGGGCTGGGCCCTTGGACATCAGGCGGGGCGCAGGGAGCCAGTGACCTGGGAAGCCCACCTAGCTGTGAGCCTGGGACCCTCAGGTTGGTGACGGGGTGATGGGGGCTGTCAGGCTGGAAAGTTGTGCGTGGTCCCTGCCCCCACCCAACTTGTCCTGCCCCCTACCACAGCCCCTCTTGGCTTTACTAACCCACCCCATGTTGCCCCTAAGAGGGGAGGAGCCTGCCAGAGCTCAGGGGAGGGGCTGGCATGGCCCAGAGTAGGGAAGTCACACGAGCCTCAACCAGAACTCAAAGGGCCTAGAGGGCCGTGAGCCCATACCTGGGCTCCCACGTCCTGACAGCTCTGGAGTCACTGGGGAGGCCCCGGGTGCTGGCCCCAGAGGCGGTGGGAGACTCTGGAGATCTGTGGTGGGGGAGGTGGCACCCCGACTAGAAGCCCCTAGGACGGGGACACTTTTCTGACCCCGCCCTCCGAGTTCTGACCGCCTCCCTCCCTCTCCGTGTGTTCTGCTGTTTCCGCCTGGTTGGTCTCGAGCAGCCGGGGGTGGACATGGTCATGACAACACAAGCTCTCAGTGCTCACTCAGCCCCCCTCAGTTGAGCCCCCACGTGGACTCAGAGAGGGGCATGTGGGACGAGGGAGCTGCCGCTGTGTCAGTGGAGATAACTGTGCTGTCAGGGCGCTTACAAGGAGGTGGGAGAAAATAAAAAAAACCTGGGTCAGGTCTGTGTAGGGTCAGAGGAAACCTTCCAGGGAGGCCAAACAGGAGCTGAGGCCAAGGCTGAGCAGGAGGTCCCTGCAGGGTGAGGACACTGTGGCCCCTCCCAGGGGTCTGGACAGCAGATGGGGGACCGTGTGGTTGAAATCAGCCTTTGGGTGGATCTTCCTTACTGTGATCCCATCTGCTAATGGATCTGGCTTGCAGGGCCAGAACCTTATGTTGCAGATTTTCTTAAACCAGAACCATCTGCAGGGCCCTATCTTGTCAGGGAGGGGCGAGGGTGATGATCCATGGGACACCTCTCAGGCCCCATCCTTGTCAGGGCAGTGTCTGACACTGGATGAGCAGAGAGGAGTGATTATCAAGTGTAATGGCATGTGCCATCAAGATGCACTAGCTTGGGACTTCCTTGACAGTCCAGTGGTTAAGACTCCAAGCTTCCAAGGCAGGGGACACAGGTTCCATCCCTGGTCAGGGAACTAAGATCCCACATGTCATGTGGCACTACCAAAAAAAAAAAGATGCACCAGCTCATTTACTTAGTACAGCCAACAGCCCCGTGGAGTTTGTGGTCCTTTGCTGTCCCCTTCTGCCAGTGAGGGAATTGAGACTCACAGAAGTTACAAAACCTGCCCCAAGACAAACAGACAGCAATGTCAGACCCGAGATCATCCTGGGAGCTCTGGCTACAAAAGGCAAGCCTTCTGCTCCCAGCTGTCTCTTGTGTTGGGCAGCTGGGCAGAACCTGGGCATGTTAGGCTGGGCCCTGGTGATTGAATGTTGGCCGAAGTCTCAGAGGTGGGGGTCGGAGGGGCAGAGCAGAGGGGGTTCAGAATGCAATGATCAACTCCTCCTTGGACACGTGCAAAGTAGTCAAGGCCACAAGTACCCAGACCCATCAAGAGTCCAGATTAACTATACACCCCCAAAATTTGATTCCTTCCGTGGAAGGCTCAGAGTTGGCCCCAGGGTGGGCCCTCACTGGTCCAGGCTCCAGAGGGCTCTCAGGAATTAAGAAGCTACTTTGGGAGTGACTTGTTCCCATGGGAAACCTGACCACTGGAAACTTCCCAAACCCACCAGACAGTCACCCCCCATCACCCCCTCAATTGGCCTGAACCTGGCCCTCCCCTCTCCCCTCCCCCAATCCTGTCTTCACCTACTCCAGGCTGGCCTGTTTATGGGGGAGTTCAAACATGGGGTCACTATGAGACAGAGCTGCCCCCCTCCTCTGGACCCCACTTCCTCTCGTCACGTCCTCCCAGCACTCCTGTCCTCTTATGAACTACGTGTCCGTGCCCTACGGACCACACCCCCATCTTTACCTCACCCCCTCTTCCCTGCACCACCCTGCCACCCACCCTCTCCCACATCTCCCTTGCTCGGCCTCACCCCTGCATCTCCATCCCTCCCAGAGCCATCTCCCTGGCAGGGGCCACCCGGCTGACCTCCGCCTGGCCCCCACCCCCAGGTCCTGTCCCTGGGAGCGGACGTGCTGCCGGAGTACAAGCTGCAGGCCCCTCGCATCCACCGGGGCACCCTCCTGCACTACAGCCCTTTCAAGGCCGTGTGGGACTGGCTCATCCTGCTGCTGGTCATCTACACGGCCGTCTTCACGCCCTACTCGGCCGCCTTCCTGCTCAGCGACCAGGACGAGTCTCAGCGTGGGGACTGCGGCTACACCTGCAGCCCGCTCACCGTGGTGGACCTCATTGTGGACATCATGTTTGTGGTGGACATCGTCATCAACTTCCGCACCACCTACGTCAACACCAATGACGAGGTGGTCAGCCACCCCCGCCGCATCGCCGTCCACTACTTCAAGGGCTGGTTCCTCATCGACATGGTAGCCGCCATCCCCTTCGACCTGCTCATCTTTCGCACTGGCTCTGACGAGGTGAGCAAGCCCCATCCAGGCTGGCCCCTGCCGTGGTCCCCTGTGCCCCGGCCCTGGGTATGGGGAGTACTTGGCATGGGGCACCTTTGCTGAAGCAGGTGGTGGTGGGAAGGAGGGACCTCAGACATCTGCCATCTCCCAGCCCTGTAGGAGTAGCTGGGGCTTCCCGTAGGTCTGGATGCCCTCTCTCTGTTCCCGAACCCTGCCCCTTCTGGGACGGGCATGCCCATGCCCGTCCACAGTTACCCTGGAAATCCACAGGCTGCCTCTCAGGGCAGCCTGACTGCCTCCTCAGCCTCAGCCCCATCACTCCGCCTACTCCGCCTCTCACAGCTGATGGGAGGGCATTTTCATGCTGTTCTCGTAGCTTCTAGTCCCACTCTGTCCTTTTGCCCCATCTCCTTGGGATCAGCTTTTTTGTTGCTGTTGTTTTAATATTTATTTATTTATTCATTCACTCATTCATTTATTTATTTGGCTGTCGCGTCTTAATTGCCACCTGCGGGACTGTCATTGCATCATGCGAGATCTTTCACTGTGGAGCACGGACTTTCACCGACTGTCTTGTTGGGGCTCTTGGGCATAGGAGTTGTGGCTCGAAGGCTTAGTTTCTCCACAACATGTGGGACCTTAGTTCTCTGACCAGGATGGAACCCGTGTCCCCTGAATTGCACTGCGGATTCTTAATCACAGGGCCGTCAGGGGAGTCCCTTGGAATCAGCTTTCCACTCGAATAGCTTGCCTCCTGTGTTCCAGTCATTCACACACCAGTCATCTAGCCTGTCCAGCACGGACTGTCCATTGTGACTGCGTGCTCCCATGCCCACCCACCCACTTCCAGCAAATCTATCCCCAAGTCCTCTCCCCACCCTTTCCACCTGCACTGGCCCTGCCTGGACACGGAGTGGCCTTCTTACCACCTCTGCCCCAGCCCACCTGCCAGCCTCAGCCCCTGCACACAGGAGCCAGAGCAAGTTTCAGATCACTTATCTGACCCTGACCCTCATTCAATCCAGTCTTCAGAGCTTTCAGTTCTCCCCAGTAGCTTGGGATAAAAGCCAAGCTCTTTGAGGCCGCAGCAGCAGCCCCTGCCCACCTTCCAGGCTCCGTGCTCACCATTGCACTGCCTTCTGCTCTGTGCTGCCACCTGCAGCACCACCTTTGGTTCCCCAGGTGGACTGTGCCATTTCACGGCCATGCCTTTGCTCATATTGCTCCCTGTTCCTGGAATGCCCTTTCCCTCTCCCTCCTGTCTGGAGACCCAGCTTCATCTTTCAAGACTCAGGTCCTGTGTCACCTCCTCTAGGAAGCCTTCCCTGCCCTGTCGCTGCAGACTTTTCCTCCCCTTCCTCTGTGCTCCCCTTCGACTTCTGTCCTGGCAAACCATAAAGCCATTTTGAGCTTTAGGCTGAGAGCTCCTTAAGGTCCTGCCTGGGGTCCCACTGCTGAGAGCCTGGCCCAAAGCAGGCTTTCCATAAGTGTTTGTTGAATGACTATGTGAAAAAAAAAAAAAAAGAATGACTATGTGACCACACCCGCAAGGGAATAAATGTGGTCCTACGCGCAATCTCTCAAGGGCTGACCCCAGCCCCGGGGCCCCCTCCCTGCCTCTCCAGACCACAACCTTGATCGGACTGCTGAAGACAGCGCGGCTGCTACGGCTGGTGCGTGTGGCTCGGAAGCTGGACCGCTACTCTGAGTATGGGGCGGCCGTGCTCTTCCTGCTCATGTGCACCTTTGCGCTCATCGCGCACTGGCTGGCCTGCATCTGGTATGCTATCGGCAACGTGGAGCGGCCCTACCTGGAGCCCAAGATCGGCTGGTTGGACAGCCTGGGCGCGCAGCTTGGCAAGCGCTACAACGGCAGCGACCCAGCCTCGGGCCCCTCGGTGCAGGACAAGTATGTCACCGCCCTGTACTTCACCTTCAGCAGCCTCACCAGCGTGGGCTTTGGCAACGTCTCCCCCAACACCAACTCCGAAAAGGTCTTCTCCATCTGCGTCATGCTCATTGGCTGTGAGTGTCCGGGGCCTTACCCACCAATTCCAGGTTGAGTTTTGTAATGAGATATAACACAGTAACAATTTCTGTGATTGGCAGGTCCTAAGTTTGCAGCACAATGAATTTTTGCATGTGTGTACACTAACTGTGGGCTTCCGTGGTGGCTCAGACGGAATCTGCCCACAATGCAGGAGACCCAGGTTCGATCCCTGGGTTGGGCAGAAGGAAATGGAGAAGGAAATGGCAACCCACTCCAGTATTCTTGCCTGGAGAATCCTATGGACAGAGGAGCCTGGCGAGCTACAGTCTATGGGGTCACAGAGAATCAGATACGACTGAGTGACTAACACTTTCACACTAACTACAGAATCTATAGCCCTCAATATCTACCAGGAATCAGGGCCAACTGCCTCATTTTCAGGGCCTCGTGCAAAATGAAAGTGTGGAGCCCTTTGTTTAAAATATCATTAAGTATTTCAAGACAGTGAGAGCAGAGCACTAAACCAAAACCCAGGGCCCTTCTCAGCACAGGTCCACATCTATGAAGTGCTTGCCAGGCACTTTTCTTTTCCATATATGTTTATTTGGCTGTGCCGGGTCTTAGTTGCAGCATGCAGGGTCTTTAGTTGCGGCATGTGAACTCTTAGTGGCAGTATGTGGGATCTAGTTCCCTGACCAGGAATCGAACCGGGGACCCCTGCTTTAGGAGCATGGAGTCTTAGCCCCTGGACCACCAGGGAAGTCCCTGCCAGGTACTTTTCTAAGTCCTTATCAGAGGTCCCTGTTTTGTTCCCATCACTACTCCATGACAGCCATAGTATGAGCTGTTTATAGATCAAGAAACTGAATGTCCTAACTTGCCAGGGGTTACAGAGAGACCCAATTCCAGCCCAGGGGACAGACTCCCAGAGAACAAGCTCCCAGGGCTGTGTACTGTCAGACCTCACATTGTGCTTCCTGCCTTTCAAGACACGTGGCCTAGGAACAGGAAAGGCAGTGTGGAATGTTACACGTAGATTAAGTTGTCATGTTCAGAGTAGAGATGTGAAAGCCCAGAAAAACAAAAACAAGGGGTGAAAAAAGGGTGAAAACAAGAGACCAAGAGTTTTCCCTTTATAATATTTTTACAACTTGAAAGAGAAAACAAATCTGAACTAAAAAAACCATTGCCCTAGTTCTTTCTTCTCAGGAGTTTGGCCTATGGGGCCCCAGAAGCTGCCAAGAGGCACAGGGTGGAAGGAGGAAGGCAGAAAACCCAGGGGTCTTTGTCCCCCCCAGACACCCTGGCACCGTCCTGGACACTTCTGACTTTGCCCTAGACAGAAGGGTCCCTGGAAGGGGGATCCCAGGGTGGGGGAGGCTGGAGCAGGCCTTGGGGTGGTGTTGTGACCTGGCGGAGATGCTCTGGAGCTCAGCCCCGCATCCCGCCGCCCTGCCCCAGCCCTCATGTATGCCAGCATCTTCGGCAACGTGTCGGCCATCATCCAGCGCCTGTACTCGGGCACGGCGCGCTACCACACGCAGATGCTGCGGGTCAAGGAGTTCATCCGCTTCCACCAGATTCCCAACCCGCTGCGGCAGCGCCTCGAGGAGTACTTCCAACACGCCTGGTCCTACACCAATGGCATCGACATGAACGCGGTGAGCCCCTGCTGCTCGGGCCCGGGTGGCGCGGTCCACCTCGCTCAAGTCCCAGCTCTGGCGAATGCCCCCGGGGCGGGGCGGTGGGGGGAGACCAAGGTCCCGCGGGCACTGGGCGTCCCCAGAACCCTCCTTACCTCCCGCCCCCCCAGCCCCCAGCCCTGGCCGCACCCCGCTGGACGCCCCCGCCGCCCCGCAGGTGCTGAAGGGCTTCCCCGAGTGCCTGCAGGCCGACATCTGCCTGCACCTGCATCGCGCACTGCTGCAGCACTGCCCCGCCTTCCATGGCGCCAGCAAGGGCTGTCTGCGCGCGCTGGCTGTCAAGTTCAAGACGACGCATGCGCCGCCCGGGGACACGCTGGTGCACCTCGGCGATGTGCTCTCCACGCTCTACTTCATCTCCCGCGGCTCCATCGAGATCCTGCGCGATGATGTGGTGGTGGCCATCCTCGGTGGGTCGGGCGGGGAGGGCCGGGCTGGGGGTGGGTGGAGTGGGGGAAGTGTCCTGTCTGGACCAGGCTGTTCCCAGGGACGCTGATGGCACCTGCCACGTGCTGAGCATGTGCCACGGGGGTGCTTGACGCCCAGCTCACGGAATCCTTCACACCAACCCCGGCCACAGGCCCCATTTTCCTGATAGGGAGGTTGAGACTCAGAGAGGTCTGGTAGGTGGACAAGAAGGGATTCCAGGGCTGGGGAAGTCCAGGCAGGCTGCGACTTTCTCCTGCCCTTAGGAAGCTCGGCGTAAGGCAAGGGCTTGTCTCGGGTGGAGGCGGGGTGGTCACTGCAGCTGCAGGGATAGCTGGACTTTGGAGGAAGGATAAGGAGCTCTGGACAGGGGAGAGACTGGGGGCCCACACAGCCTCTGCCGCTCACCTTGGGCAGGTCACTCACCTGTCTGAGGTGGTTCTCATCTTCCACGCCTCCCCCCCTGCCTTCAGCCCACCCCAAGTCCCTGACTAGGCCGTCAGCCTCACCATCCCCTGGTTCCCCTGGCCAGGCTCTCCTCCACCCAGTCCTCTCCCTCCGGCCTGCCCTGGCTCTCTTCTTCCACTACACCCTCACCTGGGCCAGCTCCTTGCTCTCATGATCTCAGCCTCACCTATGCCACAAGGACCCCCAGAGCTCTGTCCTGGCCCCAGTCTCTCCATAGAGAGGAAAATTCCATTTGTCTCCAGATATGGCCATCCTTACATTCCATAGGCAGACCAAACAGCTTATCTCAATCTGAAATCATCATCTTCCCTCAAAGGCAGCTCCATGGGCATCCCCGTCACTGTGAACCTCCCGCTGCCCGGGCCAGAGACCTGGGAGTCAGCCAGGAAAGTACCCTCCTCCTTTCCTGGCCCACCCCCACCATCCAGGCAGCCACAGAACCCTGTCTGTTCCCTGCATTGAGATCTCTCTGTCCCATACCTGTCTTCTTGTGCCTGCCTGGGCCCAGTCCTTAGTATGTCCTTCCGGGGCAGGTGTCAGGAGCTCCTTTCCTGCAGCCTGAATCTGGTGTATCCCAGACTCCATCTTCCACCTGCCAGTGACCTGAAATTAACATCTGGGCATAGTCTTCTGCTCAAAATCCTTTCATGGTTCTTCATGACCCATGGGAAAAATGTCAACCTCTGTGCACGGCCAGGGGTTGGCCACATTCTGGCCACCCCTAGGTTCTGCCACCCTCCCCCTGGTGGTTCAAGCTCCAGCCATCAAACTACTTAGTTCTCTACACCTGCCCATCTGTCCCACCCCTATGCCTCTGCACATACTGCCACTCCGTTCAGAGCACTTGCCTCGCACCCATCCCGGCAGGCCCCAGGCATCCTTCAATGCTGAGCTCAAGCTCAGCTCCGCTATGAGCCCGTCCCTCATTCCCAGCCAAGTTTAGAAGTGCCATCCAGGTGGAAGAGATATAATTATTATTAATAATTAAGAAGCCAGTCCAATTTAAGTTTCAGTTAGAGACATGAACTCTCGTTTTGTCCTGAGAAGAAATGGACATTAGGTCGTAATCCTTCATCTACTGGAAAACCATCACTTTATAATGTTGCCCAGATTTCTAGCTTCTGGGTTTCATATGTGAACCTGGAGAGTCCCTTCCTTCTCTGAGCCTCCTCAGTCCCCTCCTCAGTAAAAGACCTTTTATCCTGTTCTCCTGGGGGCCCATGTCCTGGCCTCCATCCATCATTGAGCAAACACTTAGCACTCCTTGTGCAGAATGGCCAGGCTCAGGGGGCCGGAGTTTCCTGTGGGAAGTGGCCATGATAATCATGGTCTCTGGCACTCTGGCCCTGGGTTCTCTGCCCCGAACTCTGACTGTGCTGCACAGACCACAGCCTGCTTCCTCCACCCGACTGCCTTTTTCCTGGAAGACCAGTCCTCCTAGACTGTCACAGCCCAGCCTCTCTGTAAGACCCCTCCCCGCCTCCAGCCACTCCTGGTGGAATGAACCTCTCCCTCTTCTGTAGTCCCATTGCTCTTGGCTCCTACTTGTTCTGAGGCTCTAGAGATCATTCTGTACTCTGTCTGTCGGGGATTTGGGGGGGCTCCTTGTGGACTAGGACAGAACCCTAGTCATGTTTTTATCCTGTGGCTAGCACAGTGCCTGGCACCAGAACGGCCCAGCACCCTCACCACTTGTCCCCATATCCATCCCAGGTCCACCCTGTGACATCGTCCATCCTAACGCCTTGCATCTATCTGTCTGGTGCCTCTTGCTCTTTGAGGCACTTCCTCCAGCATCACCTTTGCTCCTCTGGACCACCCAGGGTGGGGGCGGCCAGGGCAGGTATGGTTATGGCCATTTTAGAGATGGGGACACCGGGGTGCAGAGAGGGCCATGCTGGTCACTTGGCCCCACAGAGGGAGTGGGAACCGAAGACAGAGAAGCCTGAGGTGCTGTCCCAGGGAGCTGGGTGCTCCTGACCCCTGGTCCCCGCCACTCTGCAGCTCTGTGGCCAGCCAGAGAGGAAGAGGTTGGGCATGGAGCCTTTGGTGTCTCTTCTGTCTGCTGTTCCCTGGGTAGGAGTGGTAGGGGCAGTTCCCAAGCAAGTGGGAAACAGGAAGGAGATTCTGGTAGAATGTGGTCTCAAGGATCCTGGAGATAGCAAGGGGACCCACAGGTTTGGGTGGGAGGGGTCTCTGCACACTCCCTGCCCTCAGCCAGCACATCCAGCCTTGTTCCAGGCCCCTGCCTGGGCAGGAACCCTGAAGCTGGGCAAGGTCAAGGTTAAGAGGTCCTCAGGGAGGCTCCTCAGAAGAGAGCAGAGAGCCAGGCCCTGGAGATTCCCGTGCCCCTCTGGCTGGCAGGAAAGAATGACATCTTTGGAGAGCCCGTTAGCCTCCATGCCCGGCCGGGCAAGTCCAGCGCAGATGTACGGGCCCTGACCTACTGTGACCTGCACAAGATCCAGCGGGCAGACCTGCTGGAGGTGCTGGACCTGTACCCTGCCTTCGCAGACAGCTTCTGGAGTAAGCTGGAAGTCACCTTCAACCTGCGGGACGTGAGTCTGGGCTGGGTGGGCCGGGTCGGGGGTGGCCCTCGGCCAGCCTGTAATGGGCCATGACCAGTCAGCCTGCTGCGTGCTTGGCCTGCTTGGCTGGAGAGGACCCGTCTGACCACTTCCCTTCTTTTCAACCCCCCCCCCCCCGCCCTTCATCCTTTGTCATAATCACTTCTGTGCCTCCCATGGCCAACATAATGCTAAGTATGAAGATAGCTACCAATTACGGAGCACCAACTATGTGGTAAGCACTGGGCTCCTTCTACATGATCTCATTTAGTCTTCCTGCAGGTGGTGTTATTATCCCCATTTTCCAGATGGGGAAACTGAAGGTCCTAGCAGACAAATGTCTAAAGCCACACAGTCACACAGTAAATCATATATTCAGTGGTGCAGCCAAAATGGGACTCAAGTTTGTGCATCTCCATAGCTCAGGCTTTTCCCACCACATCCTTCCAAGCTGCAAGGGGGGCAGTGGGGACGGGCAGCAGTGTCTGCCACCCACGAGCTCACAGTCCAGGTCCCAGAGGTGTAAGCAGTGATAGAGCAATCTCTCCTCTCAAATTTATCACTCAGTGGAGGAGATTATAATAACTCAAAAAGAAGAAGGGAAAAAAGAGAAGAAAGAGCTAAATAGATTTTTTTTTTTTTTTTTTTTGGCCTCAGCAAGCAGCTTGTGGGATTTCGGTTCCCTGATCAGGGATTGAACCTGGGCCCAGAATCCTAACCACTAGGCCACCAGGGAACTCCCAAGAGCTCCATAGTGAAGAACCAAGGCAGTCTCAAGGGTGTGCAGTGAGACCAAATATCTGTGGAGCTCAGGGTGGCCAAGGTGTGGGACAGCCAGCACAGAGTGGAAGTGCCCAGAAGGGTCTGTGTGCCGGGGAGGGTCGGGAACCAGCTAGTGGGAAGGAGGGGGCAGGCGAGCCTGGCAGGGGCCACAGTGGCCGAGGCCCGGGCACTGAGCACCCAGCCCCGGCCTCAGGCGGAGGGTTCCGCTGGCCCAACCCCGCACCCAGCGTCTGGAGGTGGAGCTGAGGCAGGTTTACCTGCTCCAGACGGCCCTCCCCACCCTACCCTATGCTGTCCTCCCCTCCCCAGGCTCTCCTCTTCCTGCGTGGCCTGTCTTGGAGGCCTCTTGTGAGGACTCTGCCTTGGTGGGGGGTGGGCGGCAGGGGGTGCCCAGCTGCTAGGAGGCATCAGGTGGCCCAAGTGCACAGTGGCTGGACACTTGAGCAAGAGGGCTGTGGTGTCCACGGCCTGGGACATCTGCAGCCCCCGGGTGCCCCCAAGTCCTATTAGCAGGGGGGGTAGGCTGCCAAGGGCATGGATGAGGGCACCCCTGAAAGGATTGGGACTTCCAGACTTCCACCCCTCAGGGGGAATTGTCACGTCGGCCCAGGCTGAGGGCGGGAGGTCCCAGGGTCCTGAGGAAATGGAAGGAGAACAGCTCCCCTGCCTCCCCCACCCCCACCTTGCTGCTCAAGGCAGCCTCTCGAAGGACTCTTTGGGGTCTGCCCGGCCCTAAGCCCCTGGGCATCCCCTGCCAGTCCACGCTGGAGAGGAGCTGCCGGGAGCACGCTGGGGGGGGCCCAGTTGCCTGCAACCACCCTCACCTAGTTGCCACGGGGGTGGGGGAGGGGAAAGAGGCCTGGTCCCGGCTGTGGTCCCCATTACTTGATGCTCTTGTTCCCCACAAGGCAGGCGGTGGTCTCCAGTCATCACCCCAACAGGCTCCAGGCAGTCAAGACCACCAGGGCTTCTTCCTCAGTGACAACCAGTCAGGTGAGCAAAATCGGCCTCCTGCCAGAGTCTGCCGCTCCTGGGCCCGAAAGCCCTGCCCAGCCTCCTGGCCCTTGGCAGGTCCTCCTCATCCTGCCTCTCCTAGGAGAGACCTCCCCAGGCTCAGCACCGGAGGCCCCTGCGCCCCTCCCCCGTGTCCTTGGAGCCTGAGTGAGGGCTGCCCCCGGGGTGGATACCAGCCCATCAAGGTACTATGGGCCCCGCTGGGTGGCAGCTCCCTGGACAGTGAGGCCGGGGCTGGACATCCCCACCCGGCCAGCGCCCCCAGGCTGGGGCCCCACCCCTACTGCCAGGGCTACAGCCTTTTGGGTCCTAGAAGCCAGGCCTCTATGGGGGCAGGACACCCAGGGAAGGAGATCCACTCCTCCCACCCCGTGTTCCCATAGCAGGTAGAACGGGGCTCTGCTCGAGAAGGCCCACCCTGTGGAACCAGCTGGACCTTGGCTCAAGCTTCCCTCTCCACCCCCTGCAGGTGCAGCCCCTTCCCTGAGCATCTCAGACGCATCTGGCCTCTGGCCTGAGTTGCTGCAGCAAGTCCCCCCCAGGCCAAGTCAGAGCCCCCCAAACCCTCAGGGAGACTCAGACTGCTGGCCTCGGGAGCTAGGCTCCAGGCTAGAGCAGCTCCAGGCCCAGATGAACAGGTGGGTGACCTGTGGGCAGGGATGGGGCAGCCACGGAGGGCAGGCCTGGGGCAGGCTAGGTATGGGCGCCCCCTCCTGGTGCCTCGGGGACATCGCTGGGTGACCCGTGGGTTTGAGAATGAAAGCGAAAACCTGAAAGTGAAAGTCACTCAGTTGTGTCTGACTATTTGCGACCCAGGCAAGAATACTGGAGTGGTAGCTGTTCCCTTCTCCAGGGGATCTTCCCAACCCAGGGATCGAACCCAGGTCTCCCGCATTGCAGGTGGATTCTTTACCAGCTGAACCACAGGGGAAACCCAACGGTTTGAGAGTGGCCAGCCCCTTTTAGCTGCAGACCTCCCCAGCCCTCTCACTGAGGACAATTCCTTGGATGGCTTGTCCCAGCAAACCTGGAACATGCCACGAGGGGAGAGGGGTGTAACTTCATGCTGAAACAAATTCTGTGGGCCCAGGACTTCCTTGGTGGTCCAGGGACTAAGACTCCATGCTCTCAATGTGGGGGGCCTGGGTCCAATCCCTGGTCAGGAAACTAGATCCCACAGGCTGCAACTAAGAGTTCTCATGCCGCATCTAAAAATCCTGCATGCCACAACTGAGACTCGGCACAGCCGAATAAATAAATATTTACATATTAAAAAAAAATACCATGAGCCCTTGGAAAGGGCTTGTGGCCTGTGGATGGCAGGGCTGTGTGGCAGAGTGAGGGCTTAGGGGCAACACAGTCCTGGGTTCAAATTCTGGCTTGGTAACTTAGCAGCAATACTGTGTATAAGTAACAACCACTCTGAGCCTTGGTTTACCCTTTTGTGAAGTGGGGGTAACCAGAATACCTGTGTCGAAGCTTCATGATGAGGGCAGAATGTTTCTTTCACAAGCACCCTCTGAGAAACAGTGATAAGGAGAGCTAAGCATTAGGCTGGTTTTTTGTAGCTGTGGGGTGGGGGTGGGATGACTTCTCTGGTTACCAAAGCAGTACAGGCGTGTTTGGGTTACCTTCACCTATTCTATAAGTTGTACTGAAACATCTACTTAAGTTCTTTCCTTAGTACCATTCCTTCAAATTAAATAATTTGGTACCCACCCTCCCCCCTAAAAAAACTTCACTCTGAGGACTAAATGATGTGTGCAGCTGCCTGATCACTGTGATTATCAGAGTCAGGGATGTACTAAAGGGAATTTGGGTGGAGGCTGCAGATTGTAGGGGATTCCCTGGCGGCTCAGACATTAAAGAGTTTGGTCTGCCTGCAATGTAGGAGACCCGGATTCAGCCCCTGGGTCGGGAAGATTCCCCTGGAGAAGGAAATGGCAACCCACTCCAGTATTCTTGCCTGGAAATCCCATGGACGGAGGAGCCTGGCGGGCTACAGTCCATGGGGTCACAAAGAGTTGGATGTGACTGAAGTGACCTAGCACTCACGCATGTAGATTGTAGCGGGGAAATAGCTTCATCCAGCAGGGACAGCCTGCAGCCTACACAACTGACGGCTGCCCTCAGGCCCTAAACTGGTCTTGCCCACCCTGACCCTGACCCTGACTGTGGGGTTCTGCCTGGCAGGCTGGAGTCCCGCATGTCTTCAGACCTCAGCCGCATCCTGAAGCTCCTTCGGCAGCCCCTTCCCCAGGACCGCACTGGCTACGTCTTGGGAGCCTCCGCCTCCAATGACCTGGCCTTGTTCCCGGCAAGCTCAGCGACTCAGAGTCCAGGAACCCAGCGGCCCCGGGGCGACCCACCCCCGGCACAGGTGAGCAGTGGAGGGGACCCCCAGGGGCTTGCCTGGCGGCGGCTGCATGTCTCCCCCCACCCTTACCTTGGTCTCAGTGGTCATCCGGCCCAGGGTCTTTGTGGCCTGAGAGCAGCTGTGACTTCTGCTGTCCTCCCTTATGGTCTGAGTCACAACAGGCAGCCTGGACAGGTGGGAGCAGAGCCCAGACTGTGACCATGGACTCCACATCGGGGGCAGGGGCAGCAGGATACATCTCCTGCTGGTTCCCAACCCCGAAGTCAGGGTGGCCTGGAGAGGCTCCCCACCCTGCTTGCCCCCCTCTTTCTTGACCCCCCAGATGCCCAGCTATGGTGACACGGATGAATGGAGGCCAGAGCTCAGGAACTCTTCCTCTAGGATGCCCCCCTCTGCCATGGAAATGGACAGAACTCTGACACTGTCCTCGGAGCAGAAGCAGCCCGAGGGGCTCCCGTCACCCCTGGCCTCCCCTCTGTGTCCCTTGGAGGTACAGGGGCTTGTCTGTGGTCCCCGCTTCCCCTCCCTACCTGAACACCTCAGCTCTGTGCCCAAGCAGTTGGAGTTCCAGAGACATGGCTCAGATCCTGGGTTTGCAAGGAGCTAGAGCCACTGTGCCCCAAGATTAAAAAAAAACAGCACCATGAAGGAACTGAATGTGGGTAAGGTGATAGTTAAGGATGTGGGGGAGGCAGACAGCCTCTAAACTAACCCTTCACCTAGAGTAGCTACAAACTGCCAATCCAGGTGACCCCAGACGGTGCAGGTGAAGAGGCTCGTGACTTCCCCCAGTCTCCTCCAGGGCTCTCTTTAGACAGCAGGGCTGGTGGAGGGTGGATGAGCCTCAGGCGTGGAGGTAGGACGGGACAGAGAGCTTAGGAAAGAAAGGAGACGTTTCTGATCTTTTCTGTGCGAGAGCCTGGCTCTGTGCGGAGTCCAGTCACCTCCCACCTCAGAACCCTCTCCCACTATGCAACCAAGCCCCCAGGGTTGGTCAAGACCTCCTGCCGAGAGCCTGTGAACCAGCTAGAGACGGGAGTCTCCTCTGCAGTGGACACATCAGGGCCCAGAACTCCAGCCCTCAGCCACCCTGCCCTTGATGGTTCTGTGATGACCTTTGGGACCTAGTGGGCAGTAGAGGGTCTCAGAGCTAATAAAGTCTGCATACTTCACGTTGGGCTGGGTGTGTAACTTATTTGAGGGTCATCAGGTCCTTGATGGGGCTATAATCCTGACAGTTGTGATCTTCTTCCAAGGAGCTGTGTGTTGGGGACCTGAAGGTGACTCACCGGGTCTTGGAGCCCCCAGAGTAAGGGGCTCTTAGCCAGGCTGGGGTGAAGGGAAGCAGAGAGACACTGGCATGGTGGCCACAGGGAATCATGACAAGAGCTAACACTTCCAAAGCACTCTTCTGTGTTAGGGGATATCGTGTTGACTGCCCTGCAGATATTGTTGACTCTGCAACAAGCCTATGGGGTCAGTATTATTATCCTCATTTGAGAGAGAAGGATCAGAAGTAGAGAATCGCTAAGAAATTTACCCAAGCAAGAGGGGAACTTCTGGGGTGCTGGTACTCTTCTGTTTCCTGATCCAAGTGCTGATTGTATGAGTGTGTTTCAGGTTTTAAGAATATGTGCACTTCTTTGTGTAGATTATACTTTGATTTTAAGAAAAAGAATATTTCCCAAAAATATATCAAAAGGAAGACATAATTTCAACCCAGATGGTCTGGTTTGAGAACATGTGCAGTCAACTACTCCACTAAAATGGGCTGTTGTTCAAAAAGTCACAGGTCCTGTCCTTTTTCCCTAAAAGAATTTTGAAAATGTATTTCTCCTTTATACATTTTTAGTTGACATCTGAAGTAGTCCATGATAACTTTAAATAGTTGCAAACAACATAACTGCCAGTGTGTTGTAAATATTGACACTTTATAAACTGTTGCATTTATATTGATCCATTTAGATACAAATAGCAGTGATTCCAGAAGCCAATATTGGGACTTCCCTGGCAGTCCAGTAGTTAAGGCTCTGCACTTCCAATGAGTGGGTGAGGGTTCAATCCCTGGTTGGGGAATCTGCTCTGCCCCCCACAGAAGTCAGTGTCATTCATTTTAAAAACAGGAAAACAAGCTCTTCTTGAACACTGTTCCTTTTTCTCGGCTCATGTGTGTGCGTGCTTTGTCGCTTAGTCATGTCTGGCTCTTTGCGACCCCATGGATTGTAGACCTCCAGGCTCCTCTGTCTGTGGGGATTCTCCAGGCAAGAATACTGGAGTGGGTTGCCATGCCCTCCTCCAGAGGATCTTCCCAACCCAGGGATCGAACCCAGGTCTCCCACATTGCAGGAAGACTCTTTACAGTCTAAGCCACCAGGGAAGCCCTTTCTCTGCTCATAATTTCACTCTATTTCATTCAAAGTTTACCCAACATGTAATTTATTACCATGCTTGAAAGTATATTATTGATAACCTTATCATATGTGTTTGTGACACACACACACATATAATTTTTAAAAGTAATTGTTTCTAACCTTACTAAGGCTTTAAGGGTTACACTTATTAGTACTGGGTTTTTCAAAACAACATAAATACTTCTATTTAAATTCTTATAGAAACTAAAATTTTATTGACATACACCTCTTAAAAGAGGGAATTTTTCCCTCAGTTAATGTGAGTGGATAAATATTTTTTTGTTACAGTAAAACATAAGCCCAGAGAAACCTGTTCACATAAGGAAGCAGATGGGACTTTAAGGGTGTTGTTATATATTTAACAGTGGCACTCACTTCTTTGAATTCTGAGTTGTGTTAACAATCACATCATTAAAAACTATACTTAATGATGTGTCAAGTCGCTTCAGTCGTGTCTGACTCTTTGCAACCCCAAGGACTGTAGCCCGCTAGGCTCTGCTGTCGATGGGGTTTTCTAGCAAGAATACCGGGCTGGGTTGCCATTTCCTCCTCCAGGAGATCTTCCCCACCCAGGGATCGAACCTGCGTCTCCTGCATTAACAGGAGGGTTCTTTGTACCACTAGCGCCACTTGGGAAGGCACATACTTAATGTTATCACCTAACAATTCATTACAATCCTCCTTTAGTTGTGTTGAAAGCACACCATTGGAAACCATTTAAATTATAAACAGATGTTACCTAGAATCGGACCTTTCTCCATTTCAAACTGAAGACACAGATACAGCATTTAGGGCTGGATTAGCAATTGCTTTGGTACGCTAGAGGGAAGGATGAAATGGGGAGGAATAAACACTGAGAGCCACGCTGGTGTGGCTACCGCCTGCTGAGGACCGACCCTAGCACTGCGAGCATTTTTACGACAAGGAGAGCGCACGAAAGCCGGACTGTAGCTGGCCCTGGGCCCGAGTACACATCGGTGTGTCCATGTGAAAACGGTGTGTTCGCGGCCTGCCCTTGGGGCGCTGGGGAACAACATTACGGCTTAACTGGGACGTCGGCACGAGCGGGAAATTAAAGAGGTTCCCGTTCCGGCACAGGCCAGTCAGCCAGGCCACCGAGCTCAGAGCCCTGAAATACAGCAGGTCCTCCGGTAAGGGAGAGTTTTCATTTTTACTCGACAGCGTGAAGTAGCCGCTGGGAATAGCAGCTGCAGTGGGGAAATGAAAGCAGGTCACACAAAAGGTCTCACTCAGACACTTGGCCTAGAACTTGGAGGCCTGCTGCCTGGCACGCCAGCCGCTTCGCCACCCACGCCTCCATTCACCCGCACTGCGCCGTTATCTCTCTGACTGATATCTTTGTCAGCCAATGATCTTTGGGATTGTGTAAGCGCCTGCCCCGCCTCCGGAGTTGGGCGGGGCAAGTAGCTGAAATGACAAACACTTAGGCCAATAGCAAGGAGGTATCAAAAGCTAAGGGCACAGTAGCCAATGAGGGGAAGGAACCGTTCGAAAGGACGTGTCAGACAGCCAACGGCCAGCGGCGCTGCGGGGGTCGCGTGGCTTCCGTTCCTAGAGGGCGGGGCAGTGTCTCAAACGGAAGGTGGTTGTTGTCCGAGCCAAAGCTGGTTTGAAACTGGGGGTCGGGCCCGGCAGTCGTTGTCTGTTGCCACCGCCCCGCTTCCGGGCTAGGCCGTCCCTGCCCGCCCCCGCCCCGCCTCCCTTCGGACCCCTGGGTCCCAGGCCAGGCTCCCTGCCGGATTTGCGCCCGGCTCGCAACAGCCCGCTCCCGTCCCGGTCCTCACTGCGGCCCCTTCGCCTCCACCATGTCACTGCACGGCAAACGGAAGGAGATCTACAAATATGAAGCGCCCTGGACCGTCTACGCCATGAACTGGAGCGTGCGGCCCGACAAGCGCTTTCGCCTGGCGCTGGGCAGCTTCGTGGAGGAGTACAACAACAAGGTGGGCCGGGCAGGGGCTCGGAACCCGGCTGGCGGGGAGCGGGCCCCGGGAGCACCCTTTCTGGGCCGGAGCCCAGACCCTAGGGCCCTCCTGCGGACTTGCCTTAAGCGCCACGGAGCGGTTCCTCTGTGTCTGGTCCTGTGCAGAGAGTTTCGCTCTTTATCGCATTTAATCCTTGAAACATCCGTGGGTAGTCAGGAGTGTAGTTACCCGCATTTTACTGATGGGGAAACTGAGGCACCGTGTTGCAGCTTTACCCGGGTCAGTTATTTCGTGACGGAAACAGGTCTCAAACCCAAGTTTACACCCCAGAGCTATGCCATCTATCTCTGGTATCCGCTCCCCTCCTGCTGCACTGCTTTAATTAGGGGGCAGAAGAAGGATGAGGGAATGATGGCTGTGAAGAAAATGCGCTTAGGATGGTCATTCACTCCTGGCCACACTAGATTTCTGTTAGGTCTGGTTATTGCGCAGGCTTTCCCGCCCCCTACACCCACCCTCGGGTACTATTATTGATGATTTGTCGGGATTTCCATCGCTGTTGCGGCCTCGTGTTCCTCCTCTTCACAGCGATCTCCTTTTGGAAATCTTGACCAGTGACTGTGATCCCGCCGTTGTTTTCCGAACAGAGAAGGATGTTAACTTGCTGTGTCTTTTCTTGGCATCTTTATTGCTAATGCAAATATGCAGCCTTGAGTAGTGAGTCTTCCTGGACATCCGGAATTTGAGAATCCTTCATAGAAGGTAGTAAGAAGAACTTTAAGCTGGTAGTACAGTATAAATTTGTTTTTGAAAGTTGTTGAATAAGTTAGTGAGAAGAATTTTCTTTCCTTTGCTCTTTAAATCTCTTCCATTTTGTATTAGAGTAAACGTGGTGATTTATCGTAGTCAGAGCGACTGAGAGGTGTGCTTAGCGGTTTTTAAAGCCTGTACACCGGCTTGACACCATGAACACTGTGACTTAGGAAGAATAGCATATGTGGATGGTGACAGGCATGGTGCAGGGAAGAAAGGCAGGTGCTTTAGGGTTGGATGCCCTGTCTAGTCCACTGACTGGCGGTGGGGCACTGCACAGGTCAGTTTTATTATTTCTCACACACAGTTCGTTGTAGGCAAGTTCTTTTTTAGACATAAAGGTCCTGTAAAAAACACGTGAACGATGTAACTTTGTTTACAGATTTTCAGGAGTGCATCTGTTTCTCTGGAGTTAAGTCTTAAACTTTCTGGAATCCCCTTTAAGAAATTGATGAAAGCGATGGACTCTCATTACCCAGACATCATATATACATAATTTACAAACAAATCCCAGAGAATATGCACTGATCTTGGGGCCCATCCATTGCCCACAGAAAGCAGAGAGTCCTGACAAGACTTAGCTTTAAAAGACAGCTTTATTTCCTTTTCTCGGGTGCCTCTTTTTTCCTAATGGCCGGTTAATGCATAGCAGAGTGGGGAATGGAATTCAAGGTACTGATGTGTGAAGTGGAATAGAACTGTCGTTTTAAGAATACATGTTGGGAAGAAAAAAAAGGTAAAACGTGTCTTTCAAAGGGCTTGAGTCTTTCACACAGATTTTTTTGCCTTGCAAGTTCTTGCAGGGTCGTATTTTGGGGGGCAGTGGTGCGAAGTAGAAAGAATATCTTTATTGCTTTGTCAAGGCAAAGGGGGCCACAGTGGGCTAATGCCCTCCTAACTGTGTGTTCTAACCTGGAGGGAGCAGTGAGAAGTTTTATAGAAATGGTTCAAAGAGAAGGTGATCAGCTCGTGGGCATTCTTCTGATGGGTTGTGATTGGTCGGTGGTGAGGTAAGTGGGAGTCAGCATCATCAAACTTCTGGTTCCAGCTGCTTTGGGCTCTACATGCTTGTGAGAGCATATAGTCAGCTTCATCCACCTGGTGGGGTTTCAGTATTGAGCCCCAGGTTCTGGATGTCTTATCTCAGGAAGAATTCAGTGAGATACAAAATGATAGGTAACAAGTGGATTTATTTAGAGAGAAACACACTCCACAGACAGAGTGTGGGCCATCTTGGAAGGTGAGAGTGGCCTTGAAATCTAGTATCCCCATCTCTAAGAGGGGAGAAACTGGGCTACACCGTTAGGCTGCTGGTGGAATCAGTGGAGTAATTGGTGTCAAACCTCGGTTGCAGGAACTATACCCTAAAGTTTGTCCTTCCATTTAGTAACTCTATGGAGCTCCTTCTTTGCCAGGGCACACAAGCAGTGCGGTTTTAGGGAGATGCAAACTGCTGATCCCAGGAGTAACAGGTGAGCAGTTACCTCTGTCTTCACTCACTTGCATGGTGTAGGCAATGTAGCGTCTCGCCTTCTGTTTTGGTGTCCCCACCTATCTAGGTTAGAGTTCTTAACGTGTGTGTGTGTGTAATGGACACCTTTGGCACTTTTAAGCCAACAGACCTCTGTTCATAATTATGTTCTCAAATGCATAAAATACATAGGGTTACAAAGGAAACCATTATATTGAGCTATAGTTATTAAAAACACTTTAAAAAGTGGCGCAGTTGTATCTGGCTCTTTGTGACCCCATGGAATACAGTCCATGGAATTCTCCAGGCCAGAATACTGGAGTGGGTAGCCTTTCCCTTCTATGTACTTTAAAATTAACTCATTAGATGACATCATCCATTAATTTTGAAGTAGTAGCATTTCAGGATGTTCACTGTGGTGTGATATGAAAAAAAGCAATGATTTCTTAGTGACAAATCACAGATATTAATGCCATGGTGAGTAACTGCCTCCATTTATAATGGAAGGAAATGGTAAATTTCAGCTAGAGGTTTGTGAAAATGTAAGTGTGATTTTCCAACTCAAGTTCATGGGCCTCAGGGTAAGAAACCGTGTGCCTAGGGGCTGGCGGGCAGTAAATCTAGCTACCACACTGATTATCAGGCTCACTTTTGGAAAAACCTGGCCATAGAGGTGCCAGACTTGATGTTTTAGAGGAGCTTGAAAGTTATTGGTTGACATTCTCAGACCGTTGATTCCTGTTTGCTGTTAATAGTGATTGCTGGTGGAGGGCAAAATAAATTGACTCAGCAAATTAACATTGATAAAAAAGCCGAGAAAGGGTCTTTTTTTTCCTACTCTGAGACATTAAGAAAACATGATCATAATTTAAAAAAATTTTTGTTAATGTCATCATACTTTCCTGTAGTAAAATTATTTGTAGTTTGATAGAATTAAATCTGTTAGTGTTTCAAGGACAACTTGACTTTTAGGTGTTCCATCACCTGAATAAATTTGGGAATTGCTGCAGTGTAAAGAACTAAATTCTATCATCTGTATTTGGATTAAAGAGTCCCATAATTGATGATAATGTTTTATGTTCTTTTTTTGTGTGTGTGGTCTTTGCTGGGGGATAGAACAGCACTGGTGTTGGAGAATGGTTTTCTAAAATTTAGTGTGTGTGTGACTCCTCTGAGGGACTTATACCTTCCTGGGCTTCACTCCTGAAGTTTAAAGACACCCAGGTGATTCAGACACAGGTGGTCCAGGTGGCGCTGCAAGACCATTTCCCTGGAGTTACCTTTCCATCTCCCGACCAGAGGTGGGAATCATTTTTTGTATCTGCATGTGCCTAAATATTGTTTCTGCCCTTCCATTCCATGAAAAGTTCAATCACCAGATAGCCTCTTTGAAGGGGCCTGGGTTGAGATCTCAGTCCTGCTGCTTCCCAGTTTTGCGTGGCCTTTGCCAGGTGAAAGCCTGTGCCTCAGTTTCCTCATCTGTAAAATGAGGGTAGTGAGGAAGATGAAAGGAGTTTTAAATGTGATGGGTTTAGGAACTCTGCCTGGCACATAGCGATCACATCACCACTGTACCTGTAACTGAAATATCATCTAGGAGAATTATATGAGTGTTCAGTAAATTTGACTTCTGTATTTTCCAGGGAGAAATCAGGACCTTAGGTCAGAAAGGAACGATGAAAGGTCTTGTGTCCATTCTTTGACTTTTAAAGACCTGGGGGGAAAAAACTCCCTTGGTTCCTTTGAACCAAACCTATTTTGTGGTCTAGAAGCTTCTTGTTGTTGGACTCAGAGTACCATAATTTGCTAGTTGAAGCCCATTTTCTCATGTTCTACCTGGCTTAGACAAGTAACAGATAGAAGAACTCTGGCATTTCTCCTGAGTCTTGACAGTACTGTGGTCTTTAGACAAGTGGTATTTCCCTTGTTTTATGGAGAAAGATGACTAGCAGTTCCTGGGCTTCTATTCCACTTAGTCGTATATTTCAGGGTTGATTTTGACTAGAACTGGCAGTGTGATTGGGATTTATTTTGCACTAATAGTTAACTAGCTGACCATTTGTGCTTTAAGATATAGCATCAAGAAAACATTTTTGAGATTTTGAGGAGAAACCGTAGGTATACCTCCTGCTTTTTGAAGACTATCAGTGAATGTGAGTAAGACTACCTTGTAATTCAAATTCACATGGGATGAATGCTTGCCTTGTCAGCCTGTGTTGATTCCTATGAGATCTTTAATGCTGAGTTACTTTATCTGTTTGACACATAATGATTTTGACCCTGGCATACAAGTTTTCATTTCTCAGTAGTTCTGGCAGCCTTTCAGGATTCCCATTCATTTGTTCATTAATTCAATAAGTATGTATTGTGTTTTAGGCACAGTGATGATACTTGGTAATCTTCTGTATACTTTTTAGCAGATGTGAAATTGGCAGCAATAAAGAGAAAGTGTTTTGGTACACATAAGTGTTTTTGATAACTACTTAGAATTTTGCAGTGCTCCATCAGTCTCTGGCACAACTGCCAGCAGGAGAATTTAAAGTATCAAACTCTCTGGTTTAACTTCCTCCTTTCTTTCTTCTATACAGTGAGAGCACTAGTTCCTCCATGAGACAACTAGATAAAACTGCTGCTGCTTTACTGCTTTTTGCCCTGACCTGGCTCACACAGACTTCCTAGAGATGCTGTGACGTGAGCAAGGAGTGAATCTTCGTTCTGTAGGTAGTCTGTCCCG